TTTTATATATATATATATATATATATATATATATATATATATATATATATTAGAATACGGTATTTAGGTGTGGTTTGTTGAGTTTTCTCTAGCCCGCAAATACCAATGTTGAACTATACGAATTATTCACACAGAATTCTTAAGAAGAGCTTGAACACAATACTCAGAAAGTTGCTAATTAGATATAGCTCGTGATGTACATCTTCGGCCTACAATTATGGCTGGATAAGAGNAAACCAAGGATCCTTCTGCCCAATCGACAGACTTTCACTTCGAGGTCGAAAATAGAAATCTAGTACCGAAACCCGCTTCTGAAAATGTTTACTCTCTATACTGCAAATCCAGATAATGGCACAAATCTTAAACTCATTTATACCCTCTCCCATCCGACTCCCCCGAGCAGATATTCGGGAGAACTGTGTGAATCTGATTTTCGATGCTCTGCACGTCAGTCCAAGTCGGGTGGAACGGGTATTTGTCAGCGAGATCGACCGTGTGATGCAATGGGCTGGCACGGGATTTGCTGCGGACATGTATCGTCTACTAGGCGATAGACTTCGAGCCACAAATTCACCGCAGTTGGATGCGCGTCGGCAACGCCTGATCACAGACTTGCTTAGACAAATTGAATGTCTCCTCAACTATGGCGAGTTTCTCAATCATCCGTCCAGGCTGAGTGAAATGTTGGCCTTACATAATCTCCGAGTGAGTTTTCGGTTTTTGCTGTTGTTGTTCTTGATGGTGCTGCTGAAGTTTCGTAGTATTTTTCTCAAGTCTGTTCACAGGCAATAAGCGAAGAAACATGTCATCACCATCGAACACTTTGCAGTTAGTTAGACTGTGTTGACTGGTAGTTTTACTTGTAATTCGCGACCAGTGGTGGTTATGTGGCTAAGTTTACGGGTACTTGTTTTCTCTGGGCCCCCAAGGTTTTTAATCCCTTCAGCGTAGTCCACATTTGCTGGTAGGTTGCTTCGCTGTCGTTCGACTCACTACCATGCTCATTTGTTTCTTCACACCAGGATTACCGGTTTCCATTTCCGAAACCTCTTAAAAACGGAGTTCACTCCCTCTTTCGCTCCCTACTTCTCATCACACAAGAGTGAGTAATTTTCAAAACAAAAATATCCGCGATCTGTCATTAGACCTCTTTCGTGTACTCGCATACTTCAGTTCCGTGCTCGATCTCATTCTCTCTCCGGTGAATAGCAAAGCGTTTCGTAGACTCAGAATAACGCTAACCGGGTTCATGCTCAACAGTGTTTTTTTATTACACACCAGTGTGTGATGAACAGCAGACGGGGTACACCCCACAGTCACGAAGACCTGCTGTTGAGTGATGGTAACCGGTAACTTGAACCCCGGGATCTGAAGTGGCGAACCACGTAAGGCCCCGATAGTTCAGGCGTGGTATTGAACCGGACGATTGCAAAGCTGCCTACCACCGAAGTTGGGTGGTGGTGGCGGGGCTCGAACCTCGGGACATCAGTTCCAAAGCACGCCGGTGACAGCGATTAAACCACTGCGCCACCACCATCCCGATGTGCAGTTGCGCTGATCAACTTGCCACAGTGTAGTTCATATAGGCCTCTTTTTCAGGGTGAAGACGAGAAATAATTTCTCTTGGATTTCTGTTTGTTACTTGCAGGAATAAAGAAAGCACGATTCAAGAAAAACAGTTAATCAGTTCATCATTCGAAATCTATTCCAATCAATCGTGCTAATCAACTCATCCTTATTGACGTAGTACAGTTCAGTGCATACAACTAATGATCATACATTTTCGTGGGAGATGAAGGCAGAAATAAATACAATTTACCCGTAGCCATCACTGCAAGTATGATATTGGAAAATGAAAATGAAAGTGAGAAATATGTTGCTCGAGTTTAATCATCGTAGACACCCGTAGACACTCAACCCTTGACATACAACCGGATGTGACGACGGCACCCCTGATGTATCGAGTTGGCAAATGACAACCGAGCATGTATGTATGCCTGCCGACACTTCATCGGTGGCGCGTTTGCAAAGTGAGGTGTATCTGTCAAAGTAACAAAACTTGTCCGCTTGCTCTATTACTTCTCCAATGAGAGTTACGTTGGGAGCTGGACCAGCCCTGTCATGTAGCACCATTTTATAATTTGATGAGGCTGAACCCATACCGAACATGGAGACATGAGCACTGAAACCGTCCAGGTAGGCTTGCTACTTGCCTGGATCTTCACCTCTCAACACAATANGTCTGCATACTCCAAATCAGACAGTCTATCACCTCGGGACGAATCGATGCCACTATCCTTGAATGAGGATAATACTGTTTCCATAATCAAATCCGGACGAACACCACTTTCTGTAATGAACTCGGTTGAAGAAGTGCCGTAAGCTCGGAGTCGGCTTTGGCTATGAGTAGAAAGGGATTGTAATATTGAAATAAACTTCTCGAGCACATTCTTTACTGAGACAGGCAGCACCAGAGTTTAGAGCGTTTGACTGAGTCGAAAGTCGCACTTTCAGGACACAAATGGTTGATTTCTTTATTGACTATGGATTAATATCTATGTGACCGTGTACCCCTCTCACATATGGCTGTTATTGTCTGTGTTGTCGCTCATTGACCTGTTTAGTTGGTGCTGTCACCGAATTCCGAGAAATTCAACTGATCATTATAGACGAGGTTTTTCCGATACTGTTGTTTGTTTGTGTGTGTTTGTGCGGCTTTATCTCATGTCATCATTTCGAAACATTACTACTGATGCGGGAGATCTCGTGACTGGCTAATTGGTTCTCAAATAGTAAACCAGCACAACCACATTCCGAGGAATTGTTGCGTCATTTACAAACGATAGTCTACTTGTGTCACACTCTACACTTCATCGTTGCATTGTTGTCTGTCTATTTTATTCGATTAGGAAAATACCACTTCACTTTCCTGCACGTGACACTCTCATTTATAGAATCGGTCTACTGTGCTATCTGTAGTATCTCATTCGGTTACCTGCAATGTTGAACAGTGACCCACTCTCAGCAGGTTAATCTGAGGCGCACGATCCGGTGAATGCATCTTGCCATTTGATACGTCTGCAAAAGATAGCGATATGCGTTTGGGTGTATTAGGACGACTTCAGTCGAAGCGGATAGACTTCCCTTTCGAATAGCTGAAACCGGCAGATGAACTAGTGATCTTTCATTCCTAAGTTTTAACCTAGTGTGACTCACCACACCGAATCTAATGAGGTGTTTCTCGCTCACCGTTTTATCTATGTACGTAAGGGTGAATTCCTTGATGTCCTATAGCCTCGCGATGTTATCTCTTTTGGTGGGAACAGAATAAAACTCCAATCTCTCATATATATATATATATATATATATGTATATATATATATATATATCAGCACACACATTCCAAGAGTGAGTAAAGATTACCACACCAGAGTTTGAGATTCGCCTGGGAGTATGTATACAATCATAACACGTTTATAGTTTTATATGGGATGGAAACAGCACAATCTGACCCACTATTCCGATACAGTGGACTCGTCATTCGGGAATCAGAACAATCATTGTGAGGCGAAAATGCGATAAACTATGTACGTGATTTACAATCTCAACCCTCCATTGTATAAGCTGCAAAGCCGTACGGAAATATTATTTCCCTGAAATGGATTTTCCCATGTTTCAGGTTGATATCTAAGCGTCTTTGTTCAGGATTCCGAGTGCGAAACATTTTGCGTAGTACACAGTTTGCGCATACACTGAAACCTCAGAGTCCAAAACCTTCGTTTTCAACACGAGGACCTGCTTTGAGTATTGATCTCTATTCAGGTAGGGCTATGTCTATCGGGCGATGTCCAACGATTAGTAGAAGCTATGCTCCACTTCGATGATGAAGAATTCCGTAAAGCATTAGAGACAACTTCTCAGTTTCGGGTGTTATGCGACGACTGCGGACTTTCTTCGCTTCTAAACACCTCCGAAAGCACCAATGTGATTGCGGTTGTAACCCGTCGTCTTTCCATGGAACGTCGCGATATGCTGCTCCAAATAGCTCTTATTTAGAAATCCCCGCTCACTTCACATGTTTGTATGTATTGAAACCATTTTGCATTGTAGTCTCCATTCGCTTTTCGCATGTAGAGGCCCTATTTTGTTTTATTGTCATCTATCACGAGATCTCATACGACCTCGGATATGGTACAATTTCCGGTGAGCCGTGTCGTGCGCTTGCGCTCCGTTACATACGACCGTCAATGCTCGTCACTGCCTTCATTCTTCATCCGGTCCATTCCTGGGGAGCCATATCAATGAGATTAATCGATTGAATTTGTTCCGCGTCACAGCTCAGCTCGTTCAAGGCGCTCAAGATGTTTTCTCACCAAAGTGAGACGACGAAAAACCAACATCTGTGGCTATAATCGTGTTGGTGAACAACTGGCCGTTCACCTAGGGGAGTTGACTAAAATCCCTGATTCCAATCCAATCAAGAAGAGGTGTACGAACAACAAACACCTTCCTGGTTGTGGCAGTGATCACTGTCTCGACCGGGCATCTGTATGAACTGTACATGTTGTTTGTTTGATCTCGTCCAAAGGGCGTATCATGCGATAAACTGGACACCGATGCTCAATGGTTTACGATTTTCACATACCGTTCAACTACCTTTCCGGCGAGGCTTTGGTCAGTCAAGAACTATGGTTGTTTATATCGAAGATAGTTCGTTTCCACATCATGGATCGGAGGGCGCTCTCCTTTCATGCCAATAGAGAATGAGATGGGGCTGTTCTCACCTATTTAGTGATCGAGGATGATTAGCGACAGTGCTCGAAAATGTGCTTAGTTTCCCACTTGACAAGGGTTAGTAGAGAACACAACAACTATCTGTTGACAGCGCTTGAATATGGCCCCACTGAGTATGGCCCATTTCCAGCTCAATTTACCACATTAGGTTTTCCCGAAGAAGCCAATAAATCATCTAGTTGATCACCGGTCCACCTGGAACAACGCTGGTGTTCTGCAGTTCGCAAATGGTTTCACAAAGGCTGAAGTATATTGTTGAACATGGCGTTCTCTGGATCGGGATTTTGAATAGTAGAACAAGCTCCCATGCAACTAACTGGACGTTGTTCAATCCACCCTAGTCTATAATAGCTTACAATAGTGTATCGTACACTTATTCTTACTCCTTCAAAGTTCCTTCATTCCACCGTGGTTTCACTCAGTTTTATTGAAATTCCTGGGGAACTTCAGCCGATTGTATTAACTGTACTGACCCTTATGGAAAAACAACTTCCTGTTCTCTCGTGTCCTGTTTTGACCATCTGCTGAGTTTCAACAAATTCATCTCTTCACCGGTTGATGCTCTTCTTCGTCCTCGATTCCCCGTCAAGTTAGCCACGTGTAGCGTGCAAACCTCGATGCGTATAGGGCATCCGGCGTGTCCAGCTCTTATGCTCGAGACGTTAGACATCGATTTGTTTTATTCGATAGAGTAGCATCCTTGACTCCAAATCCATTTGATTAACGCTTTGCTCCGGTAAGAAGTTCACACCCCATTATCCATTGTCATACCCTCAGTTTATCTTTGCTTCATTTTACCTATTCAAAGGGTTCTGGTTTATTGACCCACGTATCCACTTTATGTAGAAGATCTTCGTTGCTTTTAATAATCTCTNTTGTGGTCTCCTCCAGGTACTTTGCCTCCTTGTGTTCGAATTTTTCCCATATTCTATTCACGTTCGTTTTGTTCATCTCCCTATTCGTCCTCAGACTTTATACGAATCCATTGGTCGGAAAGATATGATGCTACACTATCTGTACCGGCTGGAAGGCTTACACGCTGAGGATGGTAATGTCACAGAACGTGGCTACACTCTGCAAATGATTAGTAAACAGTATACGGTGAGTGTTTTTGACTCTGCCTCCCTGTTCAGCATTTCCGGTCGATCTCTCCTGCCTCAGAAGCCTACCTATCCTTTTCAAGTACAACTACGGTATTTTTTATCCCCAATCCCCGAATCGGAATTTCACCAAAGATCACTCACTGCTCTTTCCATGTGGAAAGTTATTTGTCCACTCAATCAAAACTGTTATTTCATCCAGACATCACTGGATCCTCACCGATAATCTGGACCTCGGCTGACTACCTTCACCACCTGTTTACTCACGAGAGTTCTCGGTGAATGAACCAGTATCAATAAAATCCTTGAAAAAGAGATCACTCTCTTTTAGAGCCGTGTCTAATGGAAATTGAAAGTAGCTCAAATTTTTGATCCTGTATTGATTGCTTTTCAATCTGGGACAAACATCGCGTCGTGCTCGAATCCGTCAACTAGCAAATAATTCAATCGTTTTTCCCTTCCTACGGCTTGCCATTTTAGCAGTTTGATCGTCTGTCATTTGTCTACCCAATTGATTTCGTTTCATCATTCCGGTTAATTCACCCCCATTCTCCCACACATTTGATTTGCTCAGTGGAGTGAAGAACCCGTGGACACCACCGCGATCGCAGCACACTACGCCCCGTACGGAGATGCCTCATCGCGAGCTTTACGTGAACGTCTGCTCCTCGACAGTTTGGAGTGTTTGAAAGAGGCCACGGATTTCGAGGGTGCTATCGAAGTTTGCGAGCAACTAGTCGAGCTCTATCGGACAATCGCACCCAATTTCCCGAATCTCAGTCGCATTCTGGTACATTTATCTTTGCTATCTTATGAACGTATGTGTGTGTCGTAAGGTTGCGTCGACCACTCTCATTGGTGCCGTTCCCGTTAGCAGCAGATCTACTCCGAAGCACTCACCATAGTAGTCTGAGGTCCCCAGGTGATTATTTCATTCGTAGTGAAAAATATCAAGCGAAGCAATCTACCATGGTTGATCCGGTTTATTCCATTCATTCATATGTTCATTTCTTTTCCCCTAGTTTCTTTAAGGTTATAGCACTAATTTCCTCCTCTCTTTCAAGCGGTTATATATAGTTCACACACGTATGAAGCCAAACAAATCACGCACAATATTCTCAATAAGAAAGAAAAAAGGTTCATGAATTGCATGTGA